CATATTTTTCTTCCATTAGACTGTATCAGTAAAACGGGTGCGTGCACTTAGATACCCGGGTGGGCGTGGCCACAGGGGCAAGGCTTCGAAATGGACCGGTGTTTCCCAAATTTGTGCTGCAATAGATATTAGACGGGAGCACCGTTTACAAGGTAAACGTTCCTATTGTCTTCAAGGTGTGCTTAATGTTGATTTCATGATCATACGTAAGACCTGATAACCACTTTTTCGCCTCTGCCTAATGTATACCTTTGCAAAAAGCATAAATTCCAATCTAAGTTAATTCTTCCTCTCGGAACTTCTTAGTTCAAGCAGTAGAAACACACAGCTGTTTAATAAGAAGGAAATTATCGTCTCCAAGCTCAGGAAGAAGCGCTGAAGCCTAATTATATCCGTCCACGTCAAGCCCTCGCCCTATTTTGGCCACGCCCACCGGGTATCTAAGTCACGTAGCCCAGTCATGCACGCCCACACCGAATCAGCACCCATACCAGAGCTTATACATTAAGGGGAGTCTGCAGAAATCCAAAAGAGCGTCCATACCTCGCGATCCGATCGCGCTATCCAAGCGATCGGATCGTTTGAGCAGTCGGATCGTGGACCGCGTTCACACTGCGTAATAAAGCTGCCCGGTTTGAATTATGCCCTAGCAGCGGTCCACCGATTGGCAGTGGAGTCCTAGCTGTAGTCGTGCCGTCCAGACGCTGGAGGTCCGATTGCACGATCCAAGCGATCGAATCGCGAAGTATGGACCCGTTTCATCAGAAAAGTAGATATTCGCTGACTGTATTTTTAAATTCATTTTTGCAATAAAAGGTCAACCTTTAACGAGATGCCATTGTGCTCTTCTCAGTATCGCACCCTCTTTTTTCGAAGCAGTAAAGGAGAGGGGAGCGCCACTATGGTGGTCTGCTGTCCCTCCCATGCAGTCAGCGCGCTGTGCCCCGTGAAGTTTTTAGCTCTTAACTCTTTGGTTGTAGTTGAACTTCTGGGTTGATTATGAGTTGGCGTGATGTCTAACGTGTTGTAGACGAAATTTGTTACGTCTAGGGATAAAAAGGCTCTGGGTGCTGGGGCGGTGTGACCCTATAGTTTATGCGATCATGCTCTCAATAACCAATTTCAGGGTGATGTTTATCTTTACTACTATTTGGAAAACTATTTTCAAAATCATCGGCGCTATGTGAAAAGCAGAAACGACAAGCAGTACCTTGGAAATCTTATGGTGAGTTACTGCTTCTATTTTACATTGATATCTTTGGGTCTGTTAGGCTTCATTAGCTTCATTTTCGATCCTCTATGGCGCTTCCTCTCTTGATTGCGAGCGCCGTATTGCTTTTTTCCGAATTTCTCAAAATTCTAAACCCTACCGTTTTAGGAGGTTTCTGATTGTGAGCCATTTGCCTATGATGACAACAAGGTTCCGATAGCTCCATGTGGTGCAATAGCCAACTCAAAATTCAATGGTAAGCACTGTTTCTATGCTTTGAAGGCAGTGGGTACCATTGCTGGAGGCGGGCGATTGTTGCCAGTGTCACTGGCAGAAGGGCTGCGAAAGGGCGTTTGGCCACACCCCACTCAGTCCTTTCACCAATGACGTTGGCGACAAGCGCCCGCCCTCAGCAGTCGTGTCCACTCCCTTTGATCTATCATTTAGTGTTGCGGTTTCATACTTTCCACAGGTATTCATTTAAACGGAAGACTCATTGTAAAAGCTATATTTCAGATACGTACGACCTTTTCTATATTGATAAAGGCTTGAGGATAACTGTACCGGTAACGAAAGATGGGGTATGTAGTTACGAAACTTGTAATTTCCTATGCGCCCTACCTGAATGGTTACTTTAGGTTCTTTGGGATGTTGACAAGAACAAGAAGTTCAAGAATCCTCCTATACCGGCAGGTGGTACACTTTGTGACGCGTTCAAGGTGAGTGCTCCCTTTTAGCTTGTCCCAGTAAGAGGCAAATGGTCTGAAGAAGTTCGGTGTTAAGATATTTGTCAGCCACGAAAGCTCCCTCATGTTTCCTTTT